CCAGACAGACTTTCGAGAGTTGCTTTCCACGTGCAAAATATCCAGCTTGTTCCATTCCTGCTTTCAATCTATTATGAAATGCAAGTATTGTTGACCAGTTGTTGTTGTTATTGCAAGTGTGATATTCTATCGACTTTGCTTCCATTTGTAAATTGACAGGCACAAAAATGTGACTAACACCGCGGAAAAAGGAGCTAGTTATTCCCAATATCAGAACTCAGATGTCTGTTCAAACGTCTGTATTCTGGTTATTACATCGTCCCTGGCTTTCTAGGAATTAGTTAACGAAGGTAAATGTTATCTTCGTGTTACAGGCCACTAATCACCTTTATTCATGATGCAATTGCCTCCATTGAAACGAGTCCTTTTGACTGCGCTCAAGGTAATTCGCGCGTCTGTCTAGAAATTTAAATAGTGCGCATTTTATGTATAGAAGGATCAGAGTAAATAACTAGTGCTGCCTGTAAATTGTCTTTTAATGAAGAAGATATGGAGTGTTTAGTAATGTTGAATTTTTATGGCTCATCCTTGATGATCGAAAAAGGATATTAAAATGGAAATTAAATTGCTCGTTATAGGTTTCACATGAGAAGAGCACGAGGTAGCATAAATTTCATCCTCTGCTCTGCTAATATTTCGTGTTGAAAACGTTTGGCAGGCCTTGATATCTCTATTTGTCATCTTTTTATATGGGCATAATAGTCACACAAATCCGCTAGACTCGCTCGATGAGAAAGGTAAAAAAACATTTAATTTTAGATTGTAAAAGTTTCTTTATAATTACACTTGTTTTCTTTATAATTACATGTCGAAAGAGAATTAATCATCGAAGAGTATTAATCATGACCGGAATTTTATTCGAAGCAGTGTGTTTCCGGATGGAGCTCCTAAATTTATAAATAGTTTAGGTAGTGGGCTGACTTCGCAGAGATTTCCGTATTGTTTTTAACACGCCTAATTTTGAGCGACGTTCTCGCGATGTATCTTTCGCGGATGAAATTTACGAAGTGTGTTTATCTAAAATATTTCACTTCTCTAGCCGAAAAAATTTACATTCTTTACCTCTTTTCGCGCTAAGCTTGATTCTTCTGCAGAAAAATAACCTGCTGGCCGGGTAAATTTAACGTCTCTGAAATCTAAAATTCTTTGAAAGACGTTTTATGTCAGGACAAATTATGCCGTAATGGCTCACAAATCACACCGAAGTCGCCTCCGTATATCAGAGCATTATGCGTTTATTGCGCTGAAGCTCTCCAGTTCATGTTGTATTAGTGATGGAAACGGAGATCTCGCAGGGGTTAAATTGCCTGCTTGACAGAGGAGTCATAAAGCCCATCGTGATTTTATTTTTTTAATATTCGTATTATCTTCAATCTGTAGATTTTGAGCAAATAACAAGGATTTAGTAAACAAGATGGTTCTGCGGTTATTATCTTAGTTTGATAGAGAACGCAAATGAATTTGTGGTACGTAAATGCAAAACAGATGCATGGCAATTAACGAGCGTTTCCGTGAACAGTGAAGTAGACAACTTCTGTGATGTGTACACTAGCTGTACAGGTGCCAGTTATTTCAAGTGAATAAACTTCATCGACTTAAAAATAATTATGAATATTTGCTTGCCTTCAAAAAGTAGTTTCTTGAGTAGTCTCTCTACAGAGATTCCACACGTTTTTGATGTCAAGAAAATATTGAATGTAGGTTTTCATATTTTATTAAGTTAAGGCCCTGTAGCTCAAAATTGGGTAAACATGGGCTCCGATGTCTGTGAAACTAACCGAATGAAATCAAGTTTCATAGATCAACTTTTGGAACGCAAAACTCGAAAATTCTTTGATGTTAAACCTGGAAATTCTAGAGTTTATTCCGGCCCTTTGACCGCTGGACTCCTTTATTTATTTTAGTTCAGTCATGGCGCCTAGAATGATTTTTTCTTGATGTTTGCAACGAAATTCGACAAGCAACGCTGTAGCGGTTGAATTTTGAACTTACATGGTCTTTTAATGAGATTCATGAATGAAGCCTGCTCTTTGCACAGGGCTGCATGCGCTGAATCATAAAGTTTTCCAAAACGCTGTTGCATGCCGAATTCTATTTCCGAATTATAGTTTTGAGAAATGCCTTACTTCATTCATCGCCTGCAAATAATTTTATTGGAATTCTCATAAGCCTGAACTACACATGTTCTATAAACCCACCAATAACTTGTTGCTGCATCAGTTTAGGTGAAGGTTTCCAGCTATTTTCTTACATGGTTTTGGAAATTAACTGGCGGTTTGGATTTTCATGGCTGAAATTTCATACATGACAGGTAAAAACTTTATACTTGGCAGGTTAATCTTCAACAGTCATGAATTTTTTCGAGACGTCCACCTATAGGCCACAAGCCTAGAGTTGGTACAGATGAATCAACTATATAGTTTCCTTTGCTTCATTCATACTGCTCGAATTATTGTGCGTCTCCATCCGGCTTTGCATGTCCTTGCACCAACTCCGCGAAAGTTGTATGCCCAAAAAGCAGATCAGGCTTATAGCAATGCACTCATTCTCATTGAATCGCCAGTTCAAGTAATTTTATACGATCGTCATAATTTTTAATACTACAATTTTTCGTACCACTTATTCGTTGAAACATTTCTTCTCAATTTTTTTTATTCCTTGGGTGAAGACAGATCTGGCGTCCACGGTTCATTCTAAACTTGCTGCCCATGTCAATTCCTCCGAATCCGTGAAAGACTGAGTTTTTGCGGCTGACATTGAGGTTCAAAGCATAGAAACCTATCAAAGCACTTGTGGTGCTTACGTAATGTTTCTGTGTCTTGATGTTTGAATATCGCGATCATTTTGCTAGCCAAAAATTCCTATATAATCTTTATCGTATGAATCCAGAGCGCATGTTGTTAAATTGCCAGTCCCTGCAGCGTGGCTGGGCCGCCGAACGTGTCGCTCTCTACAGCAAACTGGGGCAGATTAGTACACGCTCGAGGCGCCATTAACAAGACGAAGCGCGGCATTCGATTACTGCAGGGGCGTTTTGTTACCCAAGTGTTATGCTCTGCTGCCGCCTCGCTCTCTGCAGAATTTATCATTATGTTATATTTTATAGCTTAATGTCACCGTCTCACAGGATGAAATAAGAGAGCTCAAACAATACACCACGGCAGGAGGCCATAAAATGCTGATATTTTTGGAAAATTGGAACCCAAATTAAATCCAGTATTCTTGTTTTTGAAAATTATTTTAACTATCCGATTTCTGTCTCTGTATTTTAAATATAGCTTTTATCTACATTATATTATTATTATAGATATTATATTATATTATAGCTCATATCTCTATTTGGTTCAATAATATAAAAGGTACCGATCTATTATGTGGAATTGAAAACATCTGGGATCATGTGGAATTTTTTTACTATGGTGTATTATGATATGCAATTTACGGTAGAAATGAAGAAATTATTTAAAAAATAAATTGTATTCCCCTAAGTCATCGCTTGAAAGAAACTCATTCCAAATTGTTTGTTATGTTAAATTGAAAATATAACGTTTTTGGTGATAGATTTTTTCATCTATTTGAAGCTACTTCACACCAAAAATGTTAACCTGTGATATTTTGCATAATTTGATAAACTTGGATCAGCTCATGCGGTTTTGTTGGAAATTCCTTCACCTAAATTAGAAAGTTTACCTATATATATATTCCATTCCTGCCTGTAAAAAAACTATAATTTCTCGTTTATATTGAATGGATGCAAGCTCCATCAGATTTGATATTTTAAGAGTTTATAATCCAATATCAACCGGCACAATTAACTAGTTTTCATTTCATTTATATACAGACATGGTCTGTGGTTTAAATACAAAATTATAAAAAATGATTTAGGCTTCACTGCGATATTTTTAGCATTTTTATTAATGAATTAGAAATTTGTGAGCACATTTATCTTGAAGTAGGCGAATATGAATTGTATTTAGCATTAGGCAGTTCAATTCAAGTTCTAACGCTTCATTTGCAACAAGTGGTTGCGGGAAACAAATCCTGTTCTTCATTTTTGTTCCTTATAGCAGATAATTTAGTTTATTATCAGAACGTACTTGAAAAATTACAATGATTTGGGAGGTATTTAATTGATAATTTCAGAATTGGGTCTATATCACTACAATCTTCGTCCCAGTGAAATAATTCTCAATATGGAAACCCGTCTTGGGGAGCGCAGCCGTGAGTAACAAAATTGACTCGTAAACAGGCCCTGGGCCCAACGCCAACCATCAGCATGCAATATCTACACATAGCCTCAGATCAATGAGCTGTCGGTAACTCCGGCTAACAGTAAATCCGCTTTGCACAACACAGCCACTGCTTCACAGCGCCGGAGCCCAACTGTTACTTTACCCTGCAGAATACTCTAAACAAGGCGCATTTTTGTACATTTAAGACCGCTTTTAAAAATAGCAGCCATTTGTGTTGCTTGTATAAACACATACGGGGTTCACGTCGAACGATTCAATGGGCATGCAGGGTGCAGTGAGGAATGTTCCAGGACAAAAAAAAAAAAAAATCCAACATGAGGTGTATGATATCATATGGTCGTATTTATTTCGTTATAAATGTTAAGGTTCTTTTTCTAAATACATATTTATTTATTTACTATACAATAAATAACTTGGAGCTCTTGCTCTAGGCCCTAAGGCAGGTTTACCATTGATTGCTGACGTCCGCTGTATAATATTAGATTCATTTTGACCAATCAAGCCTTGATAAATTTGCCTATATTAAAATAACAATCATACATCAAAACTTATTTTTATGTCAGAACAGGAAGTTGCCTAATAATTTATTATTACTTAAAATTATAGAGAATGATTAATACTTCTAAATAATTTATCAGGCTATTATAATTAATGAGACATTGTATTCGTAACCACGAGTGTCCCGGTTAAACACCTGATCGCGATATGCAGACAGAAAATTCCGAGTTGATTGATTTGTTGCAGACACCGTAGAACTGAAGGCGCCCGAGAGCGCAGGGCCGCAGCACAGCAGCGTGACGGTCGCCGCAGCTTCTGCCGCGACGCTGCCCTGCCATGCGCCGGCCAACCCACCGCCCTCCTTCATGTGAGCTGCAGTCCCGAAGTCTTGATTTAAATCGATTTCCTAAAAAAAGTTTTATAATTATGCAGAATTTATAAAAAATGCTCTGCATAATAATTTCAACACTAATTTGCCGGTAAACAACGCGCCATTTTTTTCAAATTTGTCAAACTGTTCTGAAATTACCAACCCTTATGTAAAACAGCTTTCAAATTCCTGTTTTTCTGTCTTCAAGTTGGTACAAGGACCAAACGCTGGTGGCTCACGCGAAGCCGCGTGAGCATTCGTACGTCGTCGGCGGGTTCCTCGTCATCCCTGCCGTGGGTGTTGACGATGCTGGGGACTATCGTTGCGTGGTGAACAACTCCGTCGGCGTCACCACCCTCACGACACACCTCGAGGTCACCACACCCCTGAAAGTTCAGGTCCGTCAATGCCATCATAGAGCTTTAATTTTCCTAGATTTATTTTCATTTTGATACGAATCCAAAATTGTTTTTTTTCGTGTGTATACGTATCTCAACACACGAGGAATACGCAGGAGCTGAAACCTTTATTTTATGATGTGTAGCAAATATATATTGAATGCAATTTTTTACGACTTTCGGCCAACCCACCGCCCTCCTTCATGTGAGCTGCCGTCCCGCAATTTTGATTTCAACCGATTTCCTAGGAAAAAGTTGTATAATTATGCATAATTTATGAAAAATGCTCTGTATAATAATTTCGACACTAATTTCCGGTATACAACGCTTGCCATTTTTTAAATTTATCAAACTGTTCTGAAATTACCAACCCTTATGTGTAAAATAGCTTACATATTCCTCTTTTTGTGTCCTCAAGTTGGTACAAGGACCAAACGCTGGTGGCTCACGTGAAGCCGCGTGAGCACTCGTACGTCGTCGGCGGGTTCCTCGTCATCCCTGGCGTGGGTGTTGACGATGCTGGGGACTATCGCTGCGTGGTGAACAACTCCGTCGGCGTCACCACCCTCACGACACACCTCGAGGTCACCACACCCCTGAAAGTTCAGGTTCGTCAGTGCCATCATGAGCATTGCTTTTCCTAGATTTATTCTCAATGTGATACGGATCCAAAGTTGTTTTTCTCGTGTTTATACGTATCTCAACACACGAGGAATACGCAGGAGCTGAAACCTTTATTTTATGATGGTAGCAAATATTTATTGAATGCAATTTTTTACGAAATGCTTAAATTTCAGTTCGTTTATGTATGATTCAGTCATAAATTGCCCCTCAGTGTCGTCGAAAAACTAAACTGACGTCGTCGTCAGTGTTAAACTTTTTGAAAACATAATTTTGCTGGCCGAGCCAAGCGTTATTGAGTTTATGGGTTCTAATTACACTAAAATGTGTGCAGATAACACCGGAAGTAACAGAGGTGACTGCTGGCGGAGTTCTGGAACTGCGCTGTACAGTCACTGGCTTCCCAGTATATGACGTACTGTGGTACAAAGACGCCAATCCAATACAGTTAGTGTTCAAGAATAATCACGGGTGTTATCGCTCCAGGCTTGTTACGGACGATTGAACTTTTATGGTGGTAGTTCAGTAAGTCGCACAAGTGTAAACTTGAATTATGTGCGCAAGGCAGGTTGTGTTCCATTTAATATTAACAATTGTTTATGTATTCTGGTGATCGTGTATTTTAGTATGTCAAGACATTGGTATTCTGTACGAAGTGGTTCATAATTTTATCTTATGTGTAGAACAATCTTACTGGAAGTAGCTACAGCTAAAAACGGAATATACATATTAATTAATTACATAAATACAATAATACGCTCCTGCTGTACCCCACGACTTTTCCCTGTGCACCCCATCTTGCTTCCCTCACGCACCCTCGCCCCGCTGTCCGCCAGGAGCGACGGAAGTGACCCTGGACGGCTTCCCTCTGCCACAGTCACACAGGTAACTGCCACACCCACGCCACACATTGCCAGCACTCGACGCAGAAAAACCTCGACTATCGAAAAAGTTTGAATAGGAGATCCTGAAGTAGGTATTTAATGCCCGAGTTCCGAACTTAGCATACCGTAGTGAACATTTTATGACCCCTAGAACGGTATGCAAGTAAAAGTCTTTATGGTGCATACTCGAAGCCTCCGCCCTTAATTTTTTTAAGCTGCACTTTTATTTTCTCACGATTGCATGACTTTTTATGAATTATCGTCCAAAAAAGTTTTTTATAGTTCATAAACTGCCTCAATGCTTTATGAAATTTGCCTTCATTTTCCCAAACTCCTTCTCTAAAACTTTTTAAAAAGGTGTATATACTATAATACATACCAGGCAACATTTCGTACGAAAATGAAGTCTCGCTACAAATTTTTTTTATTACATTGTACGTGCTGCAAAATGAACGAGTCGCCGGCATTGGCTGCTTAGGCAGGTTGGTTGTGTACCAACATCGTTAGGCTGAGAACCGTTTCTCTCCCTGAGTTATATTTTACCTGTAGATATTCTTGGAAGTTTATCAATTCTCGTATTATCGACATTGGATTGCGATCAATATTGTAAATCGAAAAACACAACGATAATTCAGGGAACAGTATTTCTTCATGAGAGTAATTACATTTGAACTGAAAATGTTTGAACTTCATCTGAATGATGTAAAACTTAAATTTTTACTTCTGTCTAACCACCGCAAACAATAATAATTATAGTTTGTTGTATTAATTTTAATACTTTTCTGGAGTTTAGTTTCGATTGCATTGTTTTTTGGAGGGTTACTGAATAATTCTTAGTGACTAACATTTGTAACTGGAAAAATTTATATTTCTTTCATCCCCTAATCAGAATGAGAGACTCATTATTGAAATGCCGAATCGCTTGATTTATTGAATCGTTATATACGTGGTGGAGGTTGATTGTGTTCCTCAAAACGATTGTCCTCATTGGAGTTGGTGCCACAAAACGGCCTTGTGGGATAAAAGGCCCCGTGAGGCTTTTATGGTTCACACAAAAGACGATCATGAGCTAATGGATCTCGACGCTCGCTGTGATGATGAAGTGTTCGCTATTTTGTGCTGCTCACTGAGTTTCAAATTGAAAGTCTTTGTCTGTCTGCACCATAACCCTGTTCTGAACATACCATGTTAAATATACTCTGACTTGTATTTAGTGTACCGTACTTACTTAGGTAAATAAACTTAACCTCGTCATTTTATCTCAATTTCTTGCTAATTCGAATACAAATAAAAACAAGAAATTCTAAAAAAGATCAGTAAACTCGGTGTTCATTACTTGGTTTAAATTCAATTGTTTTCAAAAATATTTTCTCTGCAAACCAACAAATTCCAAATTTGATTGTGTACTAAAACGTTCACCGAACGGCTCCGTTCTCATACGATCGCATGTTCTTATTATCACCTATTTACCTTACTGTATATCCATCTTAGGCAACTAATATTCACAGCATGCCTGAATCAGCTGGAAGAAAATTGCTGCCGGCTAGTGTTCGGGCCCTGAAAGTAGTAGTTATTGCCATAATTAATTTCATTAATTGATAGAAGAAAATTCTACTACCGTGATAATGAGGTTAAAGCTCCATCAGCCGCTTTTTACCTGAACATGCTGCCATGTTTGAATTCGTAACAAACTTATCATAAGCAGTTGCTATTCTTAACGAACATAGCCCAAACAACGTGTAATACTCGTACAATTTGCTTGGCCAATCTTTAGAATTTAGATTGACAAACTGACAAAACAAATATGACTCATCTGATGACTTTTTCATGCAGCATGTTGCCACAAGTGAAGAATTCGCACCATAATTATTCATTCTATTTAGAACATGAGTGATCTGGTGCAATATTAACTGAACAGACATTTTTCTTGAGGAGCTTCCCCCATGGGCCCAGTGGCTTCGTTTTGCCTTGAAAAGTTGTAAGCGCCTTGCATCTGCCCGTCAGTGATACTTCACATTCATTAAAGAAACTCACAATTTTCAACAGTTTCAATAGAATCGAAATCATAGAAAGAAAAGCCCGCAAAAAAGTCTTGGTCTTTTCTTGATCGTGAAATTTTCGAAATGTAACTAGTTCTTCATATGTGGGATAAATTTAAGTGGCATATACGTTGATTCGCTTATAGGATGCTTATATGCAGAGAGAAAGTTATGACCCCTCACATACGCCTGCAATCCGCCATCAATCAATCAGACACTCATTATCACCTATGTCTCATTGATGAACACAACAGGCACACGACATCCTTCCGCTCTGTTGATGTTTTTCCGTCTAGCTTGGTAGAAGTTGCTACTCATCGATACGCACCCTATAACCATAGCGCATCATTCTGCTCGCCTCAACGTCTACGGACCTCCGACCATCCGCCACGTGGGGCAACTCACGGCCGTCGCAGGCCAAACCTTGAGTGTCATCTGCCCCGTCGGCGGCTATCCCATCGACAAAATCACTTGGCAAAAAGGTGTGTGAGAACATAGGATTTTTTGTTACAAACAGTGTCTCTACTTGTTTAGACCTAAAAAGTGTTTTAGATGCTCGAGCCATCTAATGGCGTGCTCGCTGTTTTTCTCCGTGGTGTTTACACTCGGCATGCAGCTGCACGCCAACAACAGGTATTCAAGATATTCATAAACATCATCACTCTTGGTTACAGACGGAGTTAGGCTGCCGGTGAAGCACCAGCAAGACGTGCACGCCAACGGAACACTGACGATCTCTGCGGTCACGCGGGCTGGGGACGAAGGCAGCTACTCCTGCACGGCACTCGACAAGCAGGGTCGCTCCGACCAGCAGACGCTCCACATTCAAGTTAAAGGTAATTTTGTCTTAACTTCAGTGTGGTGAAGTTATGGCTGTGAATATGGACTCATTCATTCGAAATTTTAAAATAGAATTTTACTCCTACCGCTAACCGTTGATGTTATCTGTCCATCACTTACCGAGCCACCGCATGCTTTGTTTCAGTTCCCCCGCAGCTTGCGCCCTTGACGTTCGTGGGAGGCAATCGAGCAGGGCTGCGGGCTCAGGCCACGTGCCTCGTCTTAGCCGGCGACCCTCCCTTGAGCCTCCGCTGGTACAAGAACGGTCAGGAAGTCGACGCTGGAAGCAGTGATGTGATCATCACACACGCCAATGACTTCTCATCGTCCCTCTCCATTGAGCAAACGCTGGGTAAACACGCTGGCAACTACACCTGCTCAGCGACTAATGGTGCCAGCACGGCATCGACCTCCGCAGTGCTCGTAGTCAACGGTGAGTCTGCTGCCGGCATTTGTTCACTTTCATGTGTTTTTCCCTCTGCGTCGCGCGGTGAGACTCTCGCCGTGTCTGCGGTGGGGGGCTTATAGCAATACATTTTTTGTACATTTTCAGATTTAATTGATAAAATGATCCATCATTCAAAGTGCGAATAATTTTGATTGAAACCTACCCAAAGATCTTGCGTAAAACCGAATTTCCCACGAAATTCGAAAAGAAAAAAACATTGATAGTCCCTCCTAGGGTTGTATATACGCTAGTTCATTGTATTTTTTTCCACTTCAGTTCCCCCTGAGTGGCTTGTGGAGCCCTCTGACGCGGATGTCTCGCTTGGCGCGTCTTTAGAAATACTTTGCAGCGCCAGCGGTTTCCCAACACCCAGGGTCAGCTGGAGGAAGCAAACGCGTCAGTGGCACATTTTTTTTTATAAAAAGCTTTGAACTTGCTATGAAAGTAAGAGCGTATCTTTGGGAAAAAACAAAGAAATACTTTTTTTTAAATCTAGATTGCATGCTTATTTAAACGAGAGACTTAAACTTGCTGGATGAAAGCATACTATTGTATCTGACCTTTGAGCAACAATAGGAACGATCATTTTCCGAGTTAATTTCATGTCTATTCGAAAAAATTGCCTTTTTCTTGTGCTTGCAGCTTCGGGTAGCTGGGGTGATATCAGCCGGGGTTCAAATCCTATGAAAACGGCGACCTCCTTGTACGAGAATATCAGCTCCGGCAGCGGCAGCTCTTACCAAGGCAGCGAGTTCTCCCCCAACACCCACCAGGACGGAGGGCACAGCTCGCTGGTATTGCTGGAGGCTCGTCAGGATCACGGTGGTCGCTACCTCTGCCAGGCCAACAACGGCGTCGGGGCAGAACTCTCTAAACTCATAACCATCGTCGTGCACGGTCTGGCGGCTGCGGCTAAAATTTCTCCCTTGTTAAGTGATATTGTAATGTGAACGTTTGATTTTAATCAAAGTTTCTTGAAATGTTTTCATTCATTCAAAAACATACATTAAACATTCTCTGAATATTTTCTTGAAGAAGAAGGCTGGAAAAAAAAAGACTTTGGGCTTTTTGTATGAACTATGAACTATCAGGTTTAGTCAAATGGTTGGATTTTCTTTGAATAAATTATTAAAATTACCGAGCGCAAGGAATCTAGTTCACCAAAGTACCCTCTGCTTCTTCAGCCCTCATTTTCCCTAACGCTCCCGTTCTTCTCTGTGTCCCCTAGAACCTCCAACATTTCCTGACTCTGAGCGGCGCGTGGAGGTGGCAGTGGGTGGAACTGCAACCTTCATCTGCCAGGCTCGGGGAGACGCTCCCTTGGCCCTCCACTGGCTAAGAAATAACTCCACCCTTTCCTCTACTGCTAGGCGAGTGTAAATCCAACTTGTACGATTATGCCATGCGAGTTTTCCTCGACTCATTTTTAAAATGCTGCTGGTTATTCACATTTTAATGCCATTAAAACTCGTAGATTCCAAAATCGAGAAGTAGATTCACAAATGCCAAGCCATTTCGAGCTAATGATCATCAAAAGTAGAACAAACTCTAGGTTAAGTACAGAACCCTAGTGCCAACAGAAAAACTTATAATAAAATTTGTAGAAATAGCACTAGATGCAATATAATTACGCTTCCCATCGTTAAGCCAGTAATACTTAGAAAGCCTGTAGAAGATTGATCAAAGTTCAAGTATGCAATTGGTAATTATCACGTCACAAGCACGTCACAAGCACATTTACAACAAAAAATAAGGCCGATAAAGGTAGGGTCATTGGTTAAGGTCAATTGGGAAAGGGTAAGGTTAGTGCAGTGGCATGGTCAATCCTAAGCTGTTTTCGTCCAGCTTTAACGCCAAACGACCATTAGGACGAGATAAATTTTAATGGTTGATTGTACCTGTACAGAATCAGTGCCAATAAGTGAGTGCCAATCCACTCTGCTCACTACCATTAGATGAGTGCAACTCTCCCCGATTTTCAATTCATTCCTCATAATGTGAACTATTTAATTATTATTGACATTTAGCTGCTATTATTTGGAAGATTAGATTACTCCGCGTTGTTGCGGGATAAATGCGCTACATTATCATAATTCACATTTTCTGCCTGCAGGCCCTTACATACCAGGATGATCACGAATTACATACAGTGCTGAAAGGATCACAAATATTTTTGTTTCCGTGGCAATAAAGTAGATAAACACAGGTTCGATGATAACTTCGCAAACGTGAACTAATTAATTACAGACAAACAAAGCTAAGGTTTCATACGAATTAATGCACAGATTTGAGCAGTTAGGTATAAAAAATATTAATCTTATGCATAGATAGTGGATGATATCCCCCAGGGGGACCAGGTTACAATTATAGTGCAGGTAGGAATTGGCTACTGATTAGCCACCAGTTACCCAAGAAGAGATTTATTCACTCTTTTCTTTCTTGTCTTGCATGGAGAAGTGCAGCGACTTGCAAACCTAAGCGCGGTCAAAAATTGGCCCGCTGCATCCTCGTTCATATAGATTAAATTTTCACCGCTTCAGGTACAGCGTGGAAAGCTCTGGCGACCAAGGAGAAGGAAATGGACGCGAGCTACGCCTGACCATACATCGAGTTGAGGCCACCGACGGCGGCGACTACCACTGCGTGGCCACCAACGGACACGGCACTAACTCTGCCCTGCACCATCTGCTTGTGCAAGGTCAGATTAACCACTGTTAATAACTTTAGATGTTTAGTTGGTAGATGGATAATATACTGAAGCATAGCCTGACTACTTTTTTGTGCTGCTACCTCCATCTTGCGCAAAATGCGAGTGTATGGCAGTCGTGTTGCGTATGTTTAATGCAGATGGTTCGATCGCTCGTATGCGAGCAATCTCTAATGCGGAACTTATTTTTTGTAGTAATATAATAAATATATGATGCGTTTCTATATCTATATATTCAAATATTAATATAATCAGTTTACTTCTATCGCAAATAAATAAAAAATGCGAAAATGCGACAGCCTAGAAAATTTCATGTAAAGTTACCATCACTATATTGAAGACGAACACTTATTTTTTAATTATGGCGTTACAGACGTGCCCGCGCGTCCGTTGGCCGTGACCGTGGCAGAGACGACGTCGCGCTCCCTGACGCTCACCTGGCAGGACGCGACGTCGCCTCACGGGTCAGACGTGCCCTTCACCAGATACGTCGTCCTCCTTACGTCGGACCGCGGTCAGCTGATGTCACGGAATGGCTGCAGTTGCCTTCGAAAAAATTTTTATTTCAATATTCGGAGGAATCCTGTTCCTAAGTACATGCCTTCAATCTGAAGTGAAATTAATTTTTATTAACGAGATTTTATTTTTTCATGTCATGAGGTGCATCTGAATTAATTGTGGATTTCCTTCTTAAACAATGCTGGTATACCTCGTATAATTTTAACATTGTTAATTTTTACCTAATCCATTGTGGAAAAATGACTTTAATATTTAATAAAAGATAAATTACTGAATTTATTATTACTCAAGACACACCGAAGGAAGTGGCAGTGCATTCGTCCCCCGCGAAGTTGACGGATCTGGTGCCAGCCACGCGCTACTTCTTGCGCGTCGCGGCTGAGAACAGCGTGGGCAGGAGCGACCTCACTGACGTGCTCACGGCGACGACCCTGGATGAGCCTCCCACTGGGCATCCCAGGAACGTGAAGGTGTGTGTTGACTTCGATTGAAAAGTCTCCTGCATGCCTCAAGAATGTGAAGGTGTGTGGTGACTTCGATTAAAAAGTCTCCCGCATGCCTCAAGAATGTGAAGGTGTGTGGTTACTTCGATTGGAAAGTCTCGTGGACGCCTCAAGAATGTGTAGGTGTGTGGTTACTTCGATTAAAAAGTCTCCTGCATGCCTCAAGAATGTGAAGGTGTGTGTTTACTTCGATTGAAAAGTCTCCTGCTTGCCTCAAGAATGTGAAGGTGTGTGGTTACTTCGATTGGAAAGTCTCGTATGCGCCCCAGGAATGTGAAGGTGTGTGTTTACTTACGTGTTTCTTTACTTGGAAACATCCTTGGTACCCAACAACTGTAGGGAGTTTTTGACGCTCATGCGGAGCCTACAAGTATCAACGAGTGAGAAGAAGTGGAATTGATATTGGAACATTCATTCTTCATTCATTCAGCTTCTCTTACGAGTATAACATGGTATTGGTGCGACTAAAGGTCACACAAATTAATTATGTAGAAACAACAGCTGGGAAAACCAAGGAAAAGCCTCTTTAATTAAAAAATCCAGATAATTATTTCTGTTTGATTTGAAACTTTCTCGAATTCTACCTAAGATCTGCTAACCTCTCAGGCTCTGAGTTCAACTTCAACGGCTCTGCGACTCCAGTGGGAGCCTCCGTTGCCCAACACAACCCACGGCACAATACTAGGCTATTATCTCGGGCACAGAGAAAACAGGTTCGTTGAATACATCGATGTTGAGTGTCAATAATGATTCTTCTTTACCTGAGTTCATTTAACATTGCTGAGTAGTTTATCCCGATCTTCATTTTTTTCTGGCAAATATTTCATCAGTGTCTAGCGTCAAACATTCAAAATTAAAAAAAAAATAAATAAATAAATAAATGATAATAAATAAATGATCTAATAACACGAAAAATTAAAATTGTTCTAAATTAATATTTCGTTGAATAGTTTCACGAGTCTCGGAGCGGAAATGCGTTTCAATTTCTCGACGATACCACTCACGGGCCGCCACGACCAACACCTCCTCGGCGCTGTCATCGAAGGGGCACACACACACGTCGGTGGCGTCATCGAGGTCTCCGTTCAAGGCCTCAAACCCAACACCCGCTACGTTCTCGTGCTCAGAGCCTACAATTCTAAAGGAGCGGGACCATCTTCACCCGCAGTCACTGCTCAGACTTTGGAGGATAGTGAGTTGTCGAGTTAAGTAAGTAGTGAATACGATCTCCGCAAGTTAGAAGAAATGTGTATCCTGCATCAGCATAAGCGCGAATAGGAGAAGTTTGAATACGAATATCAAAATTATCCTCAGTCAAATTCCCCCATGGACTAGATCAACATTGGAATAACCATACACTCTCTCGTACTGCCAGAGCCGAATGGTCCGCCCGAGCACGTGGGCTGCGAGCCGCTGTCGTCGCACAGTTTGCTGGTCACTTGGAGGCCTCCGGCGCCGGAGAGAGCCAACGGCGTCATCACGAGCTATAGAGTTGCTTACCGCCAGCTACATGAAACTGGTTAGAACCACCTCTCCCACTGCTTTGAATTATTATCGGCAAAAGCGACAATGGGTTAGTGAAAAACTATATAAATAAAAAACTATAAAATCTCTCACTTGGAATTCGAGATTCTAGGCTTTCCGAACCGATATTTTTTATGGATCATTTCTCTACCTCTCGTCAATGAATATGCCTCGAATCAATCATCACGACCTATCTCAAGCATGACAATTCATCTTATGACTCAGAATTGAAGGAAATCGGCTCCGAGATGCTGCCTGGAAGAGTGATTCCTAAATCAAACTTGGGTTTCGGTGTTCCCAAGTCACTACAAAACCTTCCGCTGGCCTTCTCTCCCTCGGTGGGCACAAGCGGGGACGGTGGCGTGCTGGTGGTAGTGGAGGACCAGCAGGCACGACTGGTGTCGCTCAGAGCTTACACTAATTACAGCGTCTCTATCTCTGCGGCCACCGCTGTGGGTGTCGGCGTCCCTAGTGACCCCATCGCCTGCTCCACACTCGAGGATGGTAAAGACGACTGTTTTAATATCCTGTTAATAAACAGAATGGAGATGAGAAGAAAAGATGTTTCTCTTGGTTCAGAAGAGAATATCCAACCAACTTTCAGTGCACCACTCTAATGTGGGCTGTAGTCCTAACTGTGGTACTGTCATTAATAAATTCTCTAATATCATTGTAACCTCTTAGGTAACAAAACATTCTTTTGCAAACCCACAATTTTTTACTACAATAATCACTCATTGTGATTATTGTAATACTTATTTAAAAAATAAACCCTATTTATTACTACAATAATCACTCACTTATCAGTGCCATCACCTCCGGAGGCAATCAAGATCGTAGCTGCAGGCCGCAGCAGCGCCATCGTGTCGTGGCGGTCGCCTAAAGAAACTCGGGGACGAATTACGAGCTACGCCGTAAGATGGCGCTGTGGGTCTCGCTCGACGGAGACTCGCACTGTTGATCCAAACGAGGACCATTTTACGGTCACGGGCTGCCTTGACTCCAAAGTGGAGGTTTGGTACCGGAATTTCGTGCTAGCAACCTGTGTTGATTTTTAATTTCTGGCAGCCCATAATGACAAATTCACTTTCAGGGGCTGCCTCGTCTTTAAATATGAGCAGATGCTTGAACTGGATCTCGACTAAGCGCAGTTAAATATTTCTGTACTCAATCCAAGGTTTTCATTATACGTACTCTGGTTGCATAATTCTGGTCAATGTGGTAGGTATTTCCGCACATCATTTCTCGGGGACGAATTACGAGCTACGCCGTAAGATGGCGCTGTGGGCCGCGCTCGGCGGAGACTCGTACTGTTGATCCAAACGAGGACCATTTTACGGTCACGGGCTGCCTTGACTCCAAAGTGGAGGTGTGGTAGCGAAGTTCCGTGCTAGCGATCTATGTTGAATTTTAACTTCTGGCAGTTCATAATGACAAATTTACTTTCAGGGGCTGCCTCGTCCTTAAATATGAGCAGATTCCTGAACACAACTGGATCTCGACTAAGCACAGTTAAATATTTCTGTACTCAATCGAAGGTTTTCTTTATACGTACTCTGGTTGCATGATTCTGGTCAATGTGGTAGGTATTTCCGCACATCATTTTATAAATTTCTGCAAATAATAGTGACCACACTAGGCCTATTCTTCAGCGCCCACATTACTAAGATTTTCTTATATAAGCATTTCTTGTAGGCACTTAAGAAGGTTCCCGGCGGAGTTTGTAGTCTGTCTCATTGCAGGCGTGGGTGGCAGCTGACACAAGCGTCGGCAGAGGCAAGGAATCGGCCAACGCTACGACCACCACCAGCGTCAGCGGTACCGTAACTTTAGCATTGAATCTTCATTGTGATAAAATAATGGAAACTTTAAAAAAATTATTGTGATAAAATGAAGGAAACGTTAATTGCCATTTTTACTAGGGAAAATTTAATTCTATATTCTCGCTCAACATTTGATAGCATAATAGCATAACAGTGGTACAACATTTTCCTTGTTCTTATGCTCTTTAAAATCTGGTAAAAAATTTGTCGCTCCCGCCATATAATCACAAGAGATTCTGCGCCATAAATACAAGTCCTTATACCATTACTAAAGAATTGAATTTATCTAATGTGTGGTATTGATCTAGGCCAAACATCAAAACTTATTTTATCTAAGAATCACAGATCATTACGGAATCATTTCAACACCAATTTAGAGAGATCGCTGTGTTACTGTCATGAGTGCTAATGTGTGGTCTGTAGTGGGCGCGGGCGTGTGGTCGGTGGGCGGTGATGCGTCGGTGGCCTGGCGGCGCGACGTTACGCTTCCCTGCGACGCCGTCGGGCAGCCCGAGCCCTCGAAGCGATGGGCACAGGAAGGCAGGGATATTGTAGAAGACAGGTGATGGGCTGCTGGGTATATTTATGTTGAATGTACTGCTGATAAATTTTAACTTTCGGAGAAGTTAGAGAATTTACCTGGAGTGTGTGATGTGTTGAAAAGATAAAATTGCTTAGTAGTATATTACTTATGATAAACCGTCAAAACAACAAAATCAACAAAATTTGCTGTGCGTACATGTTCTTTATAAATCTGATGTCAGATGTCCAGAAATCATCAGTAACTATACATCAATGTCCGATTCACAGTCGAGTTACCTCAGAGTCATCAGTGAGTGATGGTGTACTGGGTTACCTACCACCTCAGTGTCATCAGTGAGTGATGGTGTACTGGGTCACCTACCACCTCAGTGTCATCAGTGAGTGATGGTGTACTGGGTCACCTACCACCTCAGTGTCATCAGTAAGTGATGGACTGATGGTGTACTGGGTCACCTCATCAGTGAGTGAGGGTTTACGGAACAACCTGATCGCGGTATAAATTTTTCCTAGACTTGTCGTCCCACATCACTTCAGAAATATCTCACGGACAACAACGTGTATTTGTGAAGCCTTATCACCGCAGCTGAAGGAATTCTTGCGCAGTTTGAAATAAAATATTAGTTTGTTCTTTGCCCGCAGTGCCGCCTTCGCCACCTTTGCTGCACGTGACGGAGACGACGGCGTCCTCTGTGCGCCTCCAGTGGACGGTGGACGACGACGGAGGAGCGCCCGTGCACGGCGCTACGCTCTATTATCGGTTAGACCATTAAGGGATTAGCGTTGATGTTCAGAGAACTGCTTTAGTGGATTCCTATAACCTTCCAGCCTTGAAAGTGGTAAGCATTTATATGCTTTAAGCTTTCCATTCGCTTGTGTGACCCTTGCGCTTCAGCGGCTCTCCGTATATTTAGAATGGAATTTATCCCCTAAACGTAGTAAATTATTGTTTGTAAATTCTGCAGTACATCCGGAGGTGCGACGCTGGAAGAGCAGATGAGCTCTGACTTGCACTCCGTGTACAACTTGCGGTGTGGGACGCTGTACCACTTCTACGGCACCGTCCGTAATTCTATAGGTGAGAACAGGTTGCTTTCTTCTAATTCTATTCATTCCGAAGAGTTTCTTCTTGTAAGATTTTTCAGGGTTTTCATTACCTCTCGACCCATGGGCCATGAGTGCTACCGTATTTCATCGTTCAAAAAAGTAACCTACGCATTTTTGTTATCAGTATGAGCGAATCTTCCATGATAGTTTTAGATACATGAGAACATTCCAAACGATGCAGTTTTTGATGTCTCATCGTTGGTCAATGCCAGAATTTTCTAGTGTTGCTGGCGGTTAATGAGACGTCCCGTCGACTACTTTCGTTGATAAAACCCTGAATTACTTTGCGTGTTTAAACTACTTTTGTTCATAAGGTCGCTAATTTCCTTTCCCCGCCGACTGGTGGCTCAGGCAGCAGCGAGTCGTCAGAGGTGGTGGAGGCACGCACGAAGGGCCGCGCCCCTGAACCTCCCCCGCAGTTCCAGTTCATCACGAGCAACAGCACCCAAGCGACGCTCTACCTCACCCAGTGGGAGAACGGAGGCTGTGACATCACCCACTTCCTGGTGCAGTACCGCAAGCTGCACAGCGCGCACTGGATATGAATACATCACCCACTTCCTGGTGCAGTACCGCAAGCTGCACAGCGCGCACTGGACCACGGGCGAAGGTGGCAGTGATAAAATATTACCCGCTTCTTTGTGAGTCACCTTGTCCGTGAAAGAGTAAGGAAGATTAAGAAATTGGCGTATTCTCGTTTTTTTTAGCGTTACACAGTCAAATAAGTTCAACAGAATTATAACAATGTCGTTCAATCGAGTCACATTTGCTGTTATTTGGTCTTGATGTCCTCAAGACCTTGCAAGAATGATGCTTTGAACAGTTTTTCGGTGCTTCGTTAGAGAGAAAAAAGTTTAACACGGCTAATTTTGTCTTTTAGGGAATCGCCGCCAACTGCTTTTGAAAGGAGAATATTGCAGCAATAATGTCTGTGATATTAATTATATGGAAAAGACTGCTCTTCTCATGTTGATTTTTACTAAATCGTTGCAGTTAGCAGCGAGGTGGTGGTGGCGAGGACGTTTGGCGTAAGTGGTCTGCAGCCTGGCGAGAGCTACGAGATCAGAGTTACTGCCTACAACTCTGCAGGAGCTACGCCAGCGCTCTACACCGTCACTACCGCTGCTCTGCACTCTACAGGTGAGGCCTACAACTCCGCAGGAACGTCAGCGCTCTACAGTCACTACCGTCATCCTGCACTCTTCATTTTGTTCACAACTGAATACGATCTATGGTTGGTATGAAAAATGTATGGAGGATGTTATAAAATGAATTCAATTTGACCTCGCGCAGGGTCGGTATTGGAGTGAGGTCGAACTTTATGGTCCAACCATCGTCCCGGATTTCCGCTATTATGCTTTCATTCCGTGTTCCAACATTTATGCTATTATAATAATGAATTTTACCTTATTTTCGCGTTTTAAATACACAGGCTCTGGCGTTATGTTCCGCGACAAGCCCAACGTAAGCAGGAATGGTGGCAGCAGCGCCGCAACGTGGTCGCCTCTGCGCCTCGTCTTGCCCGTCGTCGTGTCTTTCGTCGCGCTTGCGCTCACCGTCGCGACCGTCGTCATATGCGCCCATAGACGTGAGACGTTCGGCGACAATTCTAGATATTACTCTGGAAAAAACTCATCAACGTATATCATTGATGATTTGCCGAAATAAATTGAGTTCTAAGTGGAAGTTAAACGATATATAATAAACTATCGAGAAGCTAGTGTAGGCGCGCATCAATCACGGAAAAAGCTCCTAACGTCGAATTTCATTTCTTGCAGTCTTGTGATACATTTAACCTTCGGGTTTGAAAATATGATATTCATAACATGACCAATCAATCTCCTTCAGCTAAAACGGGAGAAATTAACTTGAAAATTTTCATCAGGGCTGCAGAACTCTTCAAAGGGCAGAACGGATTTGACGAAGCTGGACATCAAGGAGCCCCCGGCACTTGAGAAGATGGAAGCGGGGCAGACTTACCACGGGGCTGAAAGTTAGCTTAATATTAATAAACCTTGTTTATCTCAAGTATCAGGTTGTAATAATGATACAAGCGGCGTAAATACTAATAATACGTGATTAGACGTTTTTAGATCTACTCGTAAGTTCATCATCTCTACCAGCCATACGATTCCCTCAATCTTCAAATTTGAACTTCTCTGAGGGTGTTGGAGGATCGACAAATTATTGGTGAAAATTGCAATTTTTTGCGCAGAAAATGGATCGGAAGAAATCTATCACTACGCGTCCGCAAGTAACCGGTTCGTAAATGTGACCCCGCCACCTCTCACACCGGTATCAGTAGACGACACTGAGACTCACACCGAACCACAGGCGGAAGATTGCATTATTCAGCACGGTATTGAGGGCGTCACGAGACTGCATCGACAACATTACGATGCCAGTGAACAAGCGGAACAACGCGGTCTATGTGAGAGAATGAAGAGCTTCAACACAGTTGTGTACCAGGCACCGTCTTATCACGACGTGGATGCCGCTGCAGCAGTGAGTAAAATGATTAAATTTTGTTTTGGAACCACATTCTTAAAAATTGAGTAGCTGCGTTCGATGATAGACCAAAAATTTTGTTCAAATTTTTTACAATACATTTCAGGGGTTGTAGACGCTTTTTCTAGAATGCTAGATGAAGTACGGTCGTGAACCATAATATTTACGCAAATTTTCTCTTTTCTCACGCAAATTTTCTCTTCACGAAAATTTTCTCTCCTTTGGAGTTGGAGACACCATTTGAATTGATAATGCTTTCAATGCAGTTTCATTATTAAGAGTAAATGCGCATACATTCGTTTGATTCCTTAACGTTCAGCCATTCCGAATCACCACTGTTTCTTGTAATTTATTGAAATAACAGTCATCAATGCCCTTTGAAAAAAATTCTCATTTTATTCTGTACGTAAGACTCGTAAATTCAAACGTTTATTCAGAAGTATTTAATGTTGATATCTTCTCCGTTTCTTACATTATGGTTGCTTATATAGTCATGCTGTTATGAATCTGACACTGCTCCCTATTGTGAGCCAATTTTTTTTAAATATGTAAATATATACATAAAATGTATGTATAAATTTATGTAAATGCATAAAATATAGGCAATTCGATTGATATTAATCTTTTCGCTTTTTAGTCGTTGAAAAGATACGGCAAATAGTCCCATTGCCTAATCAGGGAATAAATTTTTGTACAGTATGGCAGCCGAGCGTATGCTGAGCGTAGCATGAGGGATCCTGAACGCTGTAGCCAAATTGATATTACAGCCTTCAACGATGCAGATGGTTTTCTAGGTAGCAAAATAGCGAGGCATCTCGTCAATTACCAGCACTGCAGTCATGGAAACACGGACACGTCTGGTCCCAACGCGCGGACTAGAACCATCTTGCCGTGCGTCGAGACGGGAAAACGGCATATGGCGCCGTTCTCCCAGACAGCAACTCGGATATGAAGATCAGCCAACAGTGTACTTTCTTGACGGTAACTCGCCATTAAATCATCTGTCACAATCTAGATTTTTGATGAAAATCTTGCAGTAAAATGCACGAGGCGTTGGGAGTATAGCAAACAGAAATTAAAATAAACGTAAAAAAATTTTTTGTCATCCCTTGGATCCTTGCACAATAGAGGAAAATGGTTAAAGATTTTCGACCAAACCCAAAGTATACATTTGTGGGATAAATTTCAGACAAATTTAACATAGATACTCCAATATGTTTTATGAAAAACATGATGAAAAGACAAAAATATCCACGAGTTTCCGTAATATGCGACACACGCGGTAATAACATTGCAACGATTCATGAAGACAGAAAAAACACTGTTGTCTACGGCCTTTGTTGGTTTAATCTTATGAAGTATAGGTACATTTCGGCGATGATCAAAAGGTAAAAAAAAGTGAATAGGTCAATGTATAATGGTGGTTGGTGTCAGATCATTTTACAAAAAATATTTGTCATTTGAACCATATTTTTTTCTGACGACCAATACTCCAACGGTCATTCACTTGATTACGGACTAAGAGTGCCGTGTCTACAGATTTGACTGAAGTTAATGAGTTAATTTTCCATCAACTTTGTCAACCAGCTGGTTGACAACGTTTTTCCTCTGTCATTAGAAGCAACTGAAAAATTCGACACTAATTTGAAACTGGCTGACAACCACACGCGCTTATACTTGTTAACGCACAACGTAATTCCAAGCGAAGATGATAAGGTGTGATGTTCATACCTTCTATCAATACAGTCTACTAATTATGAACTACACGATCGATTGATTCAAGAGCCTGAACTTGAATGCATCCAATTAATGTGGCACTTATTGCCTAAGGAAAAAAACCTTAAGCTACGCAATGATATTATCTAAATCCAAAAATTTGAAAGAATTGATACGGGAATGGTAACGAAGAAGTGAATATTTCCAATAGCTGAAACGGTGCATAGCAGTAAGAAACAAGTAACGGCTATCAAAGTGAGAATCCAAAAACTTGAAAGAATTAATACAGGAATGGTAACGAAGAACTTGAAGTAGATACAGCGTATCTATACATTTCCATTAGCGGCTAATGTATTTCCATTAGCCGAAACGGTGCATAGAAGTAAAAAAAAAAAACAAGTAACTGCTATCAAAGTGAGAAAAAGTGGTCACGAGACAGGGGTAGCTGGGCATTATTCAGACAGACGTCAAGGGATAGTAGCGGTCATCAGGCTCCGGCAGATAGGCTTGGGGCGCATGCGTCGAGAATCAGACGGCAATGGCCAGGTAGGCGTCTTCTTTTGGTGCGGCGGCGATATCAACATGAGGTCCTCTAAGACCGTCGTCACCTCACCTGAACAATTTAATTCCTAAAGTATTTTTATCCAGTATCGACAATTCAAATGAGAACATTTTAGTCAAAAATAATAAGAAATTTTACACTAAATGAGTGACGTGAATATGTTGTAGTTAGGCTACTATCTAATTATTACAAGGACAAATTTCAATCACAATTTGTGCCATCGTACTGTTAACATCATGTAAAAATCCCCCCGAAAATAGCTTATTTTTTCTGTATTTTCTAAGGATTTGAAATTGAAGGATGAGTACGTACAACTGCATTCGACCTTGCTGCTCTCAAAGGTTTTGAGGATGCAAAACTCTCGCCCACAATTTTCGACGATGCAAAATGTTCATACTTTATTACTAAATACCCCCTTCCTCAAAACTTACATGAATATAGATCAACGTATTTAGTTTATTACTAAACCTCCCTCCTCAAAACTCACATGAATATAGTTCAGCGTCTTCAGTTGCCTCAATTAATTCTCGCTGCCGGGACGAGACGGTGAGACCCGAAGTTCCCAACGTGAGTAGGAGCTTCCTGAGGGTGAGACGCAGCCGCTGTACGTGTTGGTCGAGCTGCTCTACCTCATCGTGTAGCAGGCCTGTGTTAGAGTCGTGCAGCCTTCGCAATCTATTACTGCTGAGTAGCACTCTCTCGCAAGCGTCGTCTAGAAGATGACTCAAATCTGCAACACAATTTTCATTTCTCATAAAATAATAACACCTATTATCGTGTAAATAGGGCAGGTGAGATTAGAATTAGCCTTCGTTGTTCGATGGGTATTTACTCTAGGGGTGACAAGTAAATGCTCATACCATGACATGCGAAACGTATAGAGTAACATGTTCAGTGAACTGTTCATTGGCCTACTTTCAACTTTGAGAAATCACGTGTGTGTAATTCAGAGCTAGGTCTTATGTTGTTCAAGACGTGCAAGCCCAAAATTTGGAGCTTTCTTACATGCATCATCACCACTGAATTCCTAAAAAAAAGTAGTGAATATTCAAAATCTTTAAATGTAGACTTGGGAACACCCGAATTTGCCAATTTTTTACGATACCTGAAATAACCAAAAACGTGAGAGTCGTACCGGTAGCACTTGACCAGATTCCCCTCACCAACTACTCTATTATTTCGGTCGTTGTCAAGAACCAAGGAGTCGTGTCGGTAGGACATAACAAGATTGGCACTTACCAACTATTTTTATATATCTAAAATGTCAAGAACGTAAGGGTTAAATGACCATATTCGCACTCACCAACTGCTCTATTATATCTGGCGTGGCCAAGAACCAACGAGTCGTGTCGGTAGGACCTGACGAGGGCTTGCAAGAGACGGCACACCAGCATCTCACCACGGCAGCGATGCAGCAACTTGCGTACGAACGATGCTGACGGCAACGAACTGGAGCTCATGACTGGAGCTGCGTAAAGCGATGACATTAGTTAATTTTTCTAGCAGGCAAAATTACAATCTAAAACACAACATGAACTAAATTTTGTTTTCATATAAATTGCTGGCATAAGTAATCGTATAATTTAGTCAAATTCGCACTGGAGCAGAAATTCGTAAACTAAACGTTAACAAATTTTCTTAAGTTCTCACATTCGCTTTTAAATTTTGCTTATTGGTCTGCGCAGGAAAGAACTTATCCCAAGGTACAAAAAAAAGTTGTCTATAATCTCATTACACAGAAATTACTTCAAATTAGTCATGAAGAATTCGGGAGTTTTATGGGGCTATTAATCAGCTCCGGCCTCATAGCCGTGCCCCTACGAACACCAACCACGTACTTCTGCTACTGAAAGAAGGACGCACAGAAGGAAAGAAGGACGCCAGAAATTGCTTCTAATAGAATGTTGCTGCTGCTTTCACTCATGTTTAGCACGAGTGTAATGATAGAGCATTATATTTACCTTGAGAGTTACTTGAAGAAAAAGTAATTCCCGAACAATTTTGCGGATAAGAGCTTGTAGAGGAGCCTAGTTTGTCCGGATGGAGGCTCGACGTCATATTTTCATTCAAGTATGTATCGTCAGGAGACGGGTTGTGGAGTAGTCGTGACGTTGTCTCGTGAAATACGCGCAGCTTGGTTTCGACGTCATGACTACCCCCATACCAAGTCACTCCTGTGAAAAACAAATCAGTTCAGTTAGTTCTTTGGTACTCACAAAAATACGAAGGTTTTGCAAAGCTATCTCGGCTACTAGCTCTTTAGTTTGCTAAAATGATAAAAAATATACGTAGCCAATGTATGATATTTTTACAATAGCTTTACAGAAACTTTCATTGAATGAGCAATAAATGCCCAGATACGTTGCTGCAATCGAAAATGGGCATAATGGCAGTTTTCAAATACTTTTTTTTTAATTTAAGTGCTACATTCATTACAGAAAAGTAAAGAAGTAAATTTAACTTTTTTTTTTCTTAAAAGGAATTCCAGCTGGTCAACCAACGCCATCAAAATGGAGTAAATAATGGATTTATTATTGTCCGGCTTGGTAACAAGCGTGAATTATTCTCTAAATAGAAAATTTATTATAGACATAGAGTATGGCAGCTTACCATTTTGCAGGCGCTAACGGTTGGGCTATGGCAAACAGGGCTCTATACCAGAGCCCCAACAGAAAGAGGTTCCTTCACGAGCATTCCTACCTCATTTAAATGCTTTTGCTATGTGGAGTGGGAGGCTAAGGCCCACGCTTATCCAGCTATTCAGGCGTAAATTTTTCTGGGTGAGAGTATGCCAGCAGGAGCTCAGCTGTATTTAGGCGAACTCACTAACATGCAATTAATTATAATACCTCTTTTCTCGCCTGCCCTCTTGTAGCATACGAATCTGCTTCGCTCATTCGGATATTGACTAGGTAGCTATTTTGTCATCTTTTAATCATCATGTTAATTTTTATGTGTCGTGTACTCCTATGTGAAGGAAATAAACATTAAACAAACAAAATCAAAGCCCCGACCAGTGAGGATGGTAACGACGAGGGCGAGTTGCCCCGAGGTCAGCAGGAGGGGCACGACCGCAAGCACGATCTGCTGCTCGCTCAGTGGGGGCGAGGGGAGCGCGCCCGGCAGAGGCTGCACAAAATAAACATTTGGTGCATTAGCGCGAAGAGATTTGCAATCACTGATCAAATATTTGAATTAAGAAATTTATATGAATTTATATTTGATTAAATATAATAAATTTAGACCACAATATTTTTCTTAGCGTCTAACTTGACAATGTTTTAGGCGTTTAGAATTACATTAATAGAAATAAGAAGTCAAACGTGGAAAATAACTTGAAAATAATATGGTCGGAAAGTAATAATTTTAGGAAATGTATCTATAAGAAGTCAAACGTAGAAAAAAAACTGGAAAATTAACATGGTCGGAAAGTAATAATTTTAACAAAGGCATCTTCACTAAACGCAGATTAGAATCAGCCAAACAATCGTAGAATAACATCAGCCAAAAAATCAAACAATCAAACAAGCAGCGAATCTAAACATCATCAAAAGTTCGTGGAAATAATAAGTTCATTCAATAGAATGACTGAATGATTTTATTAAAGCACCTGGTACTTAAAGAAGGGCAGACGCCGGCTTATGAGAATTGAAATTAGAGCAACCGAAGAGCGCTGTTCGGAAGACAAAGAATTTGGAGCCGCAGCCGACGAAAAAGTTTGAGTAGCGGTAAGCGTGGGACGCGCGGTAGTTGAACACGGTGTGTTGAAGCCCTCTACAGGTACAGTGGCCAAGGACACCTTCCCATTAGCGACATTGCATAAACTTGAGCGCTTTTCATTGATGACCAAATCGTTAGTTTCAGTCTCAGTAGATGATGCATTTAGATTGCTTCCTTTTGGAATTTGATCGAGGTCTTCAGTATGAAACCGTACTCCAAGGCGCTCCAGAATGCTGTTGGCGAGAGAGCACACACACCACGCTTCTCCACTAGTCACTGCACGCGTTTCGCATCCCTTCACAGACCAGTCTGAAGGAAGCAACAAAAAAACTGACATCATTAAGAATGATCATCGTTAAGGGGCATAATTGATCAACTCAAACTAATACCGCATGCGTCAGACAATCCTTCCAAGATTCTTCATATAAATATGACGAATAAATTCTAGAAAAGTCAGAATAATTTACTAAAAATTACCTCTTACAGATGATACAATAACTTCCAAATTGCTGTCGATTTTTTGAACATGTTCATCTGACGCCAAACTCTGGAGAAGTTGTCTCATACACTTAATCTCGACGCTGATATCGAACAGGTCTTCCGAAGAGCTTCTGCCTGCTTGCTTATTTTGTTCTAATTTCACGTCATATTGAGCAGCAATACGAGACAGTTTTTTGCCAATGTCTTCAAGTCTTCCTTCACGCACGCACTTCCAAAAAGTTACATCAGGTGAGAGCGTAGGAAGCAACCGAGGCCGGGTAAATTTTGCTGAAGAAGCAAGAGATGATACCGCAAGTCGCTCCGAACCGTGATCTCGCTCACAAATTGGGTGCTGTTCAATGTAAGAGATAATTGAAGATTTTCAATAGACAATAATGTAATACGAACACATGAAACTATGAGAAACAAAAGAGGCATATATGGAAGAAATAATTAAGCGTCTGAAAAATTAAGACACAAACGTTAATAGCCCCAAAAAAAATTCGTAAATGTTTCAAAGATAACAAAAATTTATTCAGAATTCATATCGAGTGATGAACGTCGAATAAATCTAACCAAATTGAACATAAATTAAAAAACTCAAGCAAAAAACTTCACTCCATGTGGCTAGAGGAAAATTTTGGTCTGCTTGATTTGCGATGAAACAAAAAATTAAAATGTACGGTAGGTCGTTTAAATACAAGAATATTGCTATTGAGAACGGGGTGGCAAAACTGAGAAGTATTTATGAAAATATGAATGGCTTACGTAGAAAAAAGCCATACCTTGTCAAGGTAGAAGCCCGGCTCCATCTGATCATCGCATCTGGAAATGTCAAAAACATTAACATTAACATCATGCGAACTGGTGACATCGAGATGAATATTGATGCACTTTCGATCCATAATTAGAGCATGCGATGCTAAACGGTACGATAATCGTTATAGATAAAAATTCGTTAGTATGTCAACAATAATTAATCAGTGTAAAGGCAATGGCAACATTTTTCAAAGTTTATATCATAAATTCACACAATGTTGCTAAAAAATACTTAACATAGGTAGTCATCGGAATGATTCCCGTGAGAATTTCTTTTGAATTATAGAATCCTCATGAGACAAAATGGCCTCCCATTTAGGAGTGATTAAAAGAAATTGTACTTGGCACAGCAAAGAAAAAATTTAATTGTATAGCCATAGTCTAATAAGCTACGATATAAGTTTAACTTGAAACATTATACCGATAAGTCACATAGAGTTACCACATCATACAACAGCTGTGTAAAATTGACCTCTGTATAAATTCTATCATATACCCACAGAGTAAAATTAAACTCTTTTCAAGTGCTGTCACATAATAGCTGGGTAGTCACAAATAGAAAATAAATGAACAGAGCTTCATCTGACCCGGATTCAGAAGTTTCTCTGCCACTGCCATCTAAGTCGTCCACTGCGTCAGTTTCAAAAGCATTGGATCCGATATCCGGAGTCTGGAAAAAAATAACTAGATAAAAACACAGAACTCGTGTTCATGCGCGTTAAGCTAGAACAATGAATTGCATTAATTTTCAACAATTTATTAAAAACATTTCTGAGTCATGAGCAGATTGAAAACGAGTTTCCAGCACCTTTGGAAAATTGCAATTTAGAAGCTATTCTAAGGGTTTCGAAATCCTTGATTTTTTCGTGCTAAAGTCATTAAATCAGGTAAGAAAATTACGAATTAAGCAACAAGAGGTAAATGGTTTATGAGCTTCAAAGATATCATAAGTAATTAAATTTTATTCTCAGAATAATGAGCCTTGTGGAGACGGAAAAGGGTTAGAATCTAAATGGTTATCACCGCATTACGTTGGTGGACTTACTTCAGCTTCATTGGTCAATGCATGCTGAGTTACTGATGAAGCGGGACACGGGGAATGCACCTTTCTTCCCGCACAGTCCCGTGCGATGCTGGCTAATGATGGACGGGGTTTGACGTGTATTTTATCTTTTACATCAGCAGCAATGAGCGAGCCATGACGGTTGATATTCCCACCGAATGCGCGATCAACTTGCAACGTATTTATATTTGGCCCGTTTGTCAGGTAACCGGAATCTTCTTCAGATGTTTCCGTGGGTAGACAATCCGTGTTATCAAACATTGGATAGACCAAAGAAGACCGCCTTTCTACAGCATTCTGGCGCGAAGGATATGTTATGATTGGAATTCTACTATTTATCATAGGAACGGTCGGGGCAAGGCGAGACAAACTAAACCTCCGACTCTCTGGGCGATGCGAAATTGAATTCCAGGTGTTGCGCGTGCCATCATGAATTTCTTGGGTATCGAAATCTTGACAAGACAGGCAAGTTTCCATGGGGGCAAATGACGCACAGTCGTCATTTACTAACGCGATATGTGGTGCAAGAGATGCATCAATCCACGTATTCGAAGATGGTCCAGTGTCACCGACACGAGAACCTATTGGGGAATAGCCGGCGCGGTTCAGACGATTGAACATTATCGCATTTGACGACGATTGATATGTGGGAGGAGTTGATAGAACTATGGTAGAGGGAAGAGAAACGATTCGATCAGAAGTTTCCATCAATAACTCGTCGTTGACATCGCTCGTGGCTTCAGGTAAATCAGCAAAAGATGAATGCGACTGCAAGTAATTTTCCTGGGGTGTGCAAGTTTCCCCTAAACGGGCTGAGAGACTTGGATTTAGATTTCGCTCACAGGGATTCGGAATGCGCTCATTAACAAAATTTGCATTGATATCATATGCATACGTCTCTGTGTAAATTTCTTCGATTTCTTCTTCTTCTACGAAATCATAGAAGCCGTCAGTTGGATGATATACCATAAAATTGTTTGAAATTATATCTCGAGGTGCAGAAACTGTAGGCACATTGAATCCTCCCACGGGATGATAACGCCTCAAAGTCGGCTTTATACCAGAACTTTGAAGACCAGTTGCGTGGTAATTTTTTCGCAAGGGTAATTGCTTACAATCTCGCAACTCTGGCATTGGAGAGGAGTACGCGTTCGAAGTAGCAGCATCTGAGTCATCACCAATCGAGCACTTTTGATTTTTATCCATTACTTTGTCATTGGATTTAGGGCAGACCGCGTTACTATTGCCGAGAGACGAGGTGGTATAAAAGGAGCCCGACTGACCTGTGTTGTTCGTAACCGTCTTCGTGAAATTGGTTCCGGAAACATCTGCATTGAAATGATCTTTTCCAGAATCGCTTTTCTCTGCATTACGCGCAAATGAAGTACTTGGTGCTACCGGCGAAACACAACCGAACAAAGAAGTGTTCAACTTAGAGATGGCGGTGGAATTGCAGGATGTGGCTGGAGATGAGCAAGCAAAAATACATTTGTTCACATCAGAAGCGCGTTTTTCATTATCTCTATTTGGGGTTTGCTCTTTGGCCTCTGGATGATGACAATACTCAGGTGAATCTATTTTCAAGACAAATGATTCTGGAGAGACTGATGAATCCAGATTTTCAGAAGCACCTTCTTTTTCTTCTTGTGAATTATCTAGACCAATACATTTGCTTTGAATCCGCTTGGAAGCTTGGTGCTGGAAGTAACTTTGTATGGTGTAAGCCTTTTTACTGTGAATTGAGGGCGAACTTAGTGGTCGTTTCTGTGGCCTCCAAGCTGGAAGAGAATCGGTTATCTTGAAGCCCTCCATCAGCGAGGGATTATTTTCGACTGAAATCAAATCGACCCGCTGTTGGGTCACATTATCTGTTGGCTCTACCCTCTGCAATGAAGCCACTACTACATTTGATACTCGAGGGTTTACAGTCGAGGCATTACTGAGGGACGAGTATCGGGGGTTGTCCGTCTTCAATTGTTCACGCTTTTCACAAAATTTTTGTCTCTGAGAATGGTCAGCTGCATTATATTGATCATCATATTCACAAGCAAGTTCAGATCTAATATCCTCAAGACAATCATTCCCGTATTTCACTTTCTTATCCTGAATAAAGCCAGAGTGCACCTGAGAACAAATGTCACTTTTGCTGTCTATCTTACTTCTTAGAGACGTCGAACAGTTATTTTCAACAATGGTCGTGTTTTTTGAAGACCCAGAACTACCACTTCTGGAGGAATCTTCTGTTCGATAAATGTCATCTTCTTCCAAGTGAATGACAACTCCGATTTGCCTGAGGCGCTCCTTCAGGGCACTGAACACGAGATACGCTGGTGGGGGTAAATTTTTTACTCTGGCCAAAATTGCAGGCATGAGCGCAGCATTGGCGAGCAACAGCTCGGGCGAGAGCCGCAAGAAGACCTGCTGGAGCGTGGCCAGCTGCAGAAAGTCGCTACTGAGCTTCGAGAAAAGCTGCTCCAGTAGTGATGTTTCAGGGATGAACCCCGCCTCCTGCAAGAAGATGTAACGTTACTCGACTTCTTCTCTTAAATGAATTTCATTTTCCCTACGCAGACGGATATCCAACAATAAAATGTACGTGGGCATAAAGTGAACATAATAATGGATAGTTCATTGCAAACGAAGAGAAAAATATATATACATGACGAAAATGTAGAAAAACTATTTCGATCCACGTAAACTCTTGAAAATAATTGAGCAGAACTTTGAGTCTTTTCACTTGCGTTGCATAGACGATAGCGTCAACAGTGAGTTCTTTGCCTGCGTGGCACAGACGAATACGTCCGCAGTGAGCTTTTTAACTGCGTGACATAGACGATAGCGTCAAAAGTAAGGTTTATACCTGCGTGGGACAGACGATAGCGTCAATAGCAGACTTTCACCTGCGTGACATAGACGATAGCGTCAACACTCAACAGTGAGCTTTTCAACTGCGTGACATAGACGACAGCAGTAACAGCAAACTTTTTCACCTGCGAGGCATAGACGATAGCGTCAACAGTGAGCTTTTTACCTGCGTGGTATAGACGATAGCGTCAACAGTGAGCTTTTTACCTGCGTGGTATAGACGATAACGTAAAAAGTGAGCCTTTTACCTGCGTGACATGAAGGATAGCGTCAACAGTGAGCTTTTAACCTGCGTGACATAGACGATAGCGTCGAAAGTGAGGTTTATACCTGCGTGGGACAGACGATAGCGTCAATAGCAGACTTTCACCTGCGTGGCATAGACGATCGTGTCAGCCGCTTGCTGGAGGGCTAGCACGTAGTGAGTGTGATTCCGCGAAGTGGCAAGAAGAAAACCCAGAAGATGGACAAAATACTTTTCTGAAAGCCGCACTTTCAGGTGGCAAATGACTCCACATAGCTCGAGCACTTTAGGCAGCGATGCCGCAAAATCAGTAACCTGTAAAATTAAGTTTTCAATCAAGAAAAGGATAGAGATAACATTAATAGATTACAATGTCCCTTTGAATGCTGCTCAGTAAAGCGAGATGATCATAGAGTTTGCGCTTTCAACATAATAGAGCCACTGCCCACACAGCACGAACTGTACTAGACGAGTGTAAAAATAATTAAAGGAACTAATCTCTCAAGGAAAAATTCAGTTATAAAAACTAAACAAGAGCTAGTTTAGTTTTTATTAATCCTACAAATAATCAAGTTTATCTAATGCACCCTGTATTTTATTATGTTTGTCATGCTCCGCGTCGTTCCAACTTATCTGTTCGCCGATCGTTCAATAGGTATAGATTAACAATATGCGAGACTCAATAATTGGAGGAGTCGAAGTGTAAACGCAGAATACGTTGGCAAACGAGACTATGATTACACTGTAAAAGAACATGTTAGTTCATGCACTCGTTTTTTGTAATCTAAACAGTAATTTATTAACAAGTGGTTCCAACTTTGAGCATACTCGTCTCAATTTACAAACAGTAAGACGCTCACAATGGAGCTGTTTAGTAAAATTTACGTGAATTTTTCGCCCTCTAGCAGCACATGCTACACTTTTTGACACTCAGCGGTGAGAAACCTGACCGTAACAGTCGACCAGCCAGAAACGGACCGCAACAGTCGACCAGCCAGCAGTCAACTCCTGCCTAACATCCGGTTTATACGAATGAAATTGAAGTTCATTATGAAGGGTTTATCGCACAGTTGAAAAGGAAAGCCCCAGCGCTGTCGCATGTTAGTGAGTAGAGTGACGGGGAGTGCATAACTGATTGCATAATTTTTCCAATATTTCCCCCTAAAGTCCTGGTCGTTCATACAGCCCTTAATTTTAGATTGACGACACTGGTAGTCTCCTGACATGCTCCAATCCCTTCACAATAGAATTGATTTTGGTTTGGAAACCCCGCCGGCAGGAGGAATACTGAAGCGCTCGAAGGGCAAATTGGAAAGGCCATTACCAGAGTGCATTTAAATCGATGACGAACGTGCAATGTTATTCCATCCACTGCATGACCGTGACTGTCAGCTGCGGAAACTAGAATTCAAGACCTGCTCAATCGGAAGTATCTCCTTCCAACTCTCTTCCTTCGATTCTTTCAGTGGGAGAATTTACAACAATTAAGTATCTCTGACATACCCTTTTACAGCCTAATGAAGATTAAACGAATTTAAATTAACAGCATGCACAAAAGGAGTACATATACGACAGTACATTACTGCATTAAAACATCGAGCATTTGTTACGGCATAAGAAGCGCGGGATTTAGGAGCTGGACTCAAGAGTTGCTGGTAGAGCTCAGGCCTGGTGATGCCCAATCGCTGCAGCACTGGCAGGGCGTGGTACGCTTCGTTGTACATCCCTAGAGACATGCAGGTGAGGATAATAAAATAAGAATAATAACAATAACATTGAATAATAAAGAGGTTAGTAATAAAATAGACACTCAGGCACCGGCCAATGCATCATAACATATATTAAGTGGTGCAGGAGACTCGTGCGACTGGTCCGGGGTGCTATGTTACAAACCTTTTTCGAAAAGAAATGCTAGATGAATCATTCAATAATAGTTTTAAGAACTTTAAGACAATCGAAATGGTTCTGACGAGATCAGGTTACTGACACACAGACAGTGTATTTTATTTCAGTTAAAATGCATAATTATAAGATAAAAAAGCGATAGATATAGATGTAAAAATAACTATTCATTTATCGTATATCGCACTTAACAAAGGAAAATTGAATTAAACTTACCCATCTTGTTATGGTATTCGATGAATTCCTTTGTAATTATCGAGCAAAATTCTGATTCAGAAGTTATGGACTTTGTCAAGTGCTTGTAGATCATCCGAACCTGAGTATAAAATAAAGGAAAAAAATCAAGGCAGGATAGAAGAAGATAAAACATGCTTTGAAAATAAAATTGCACTCATCTTGTACTATAAAATGTACACATAGAAGAATCAATGTATCATGTGAAACACAATTTCATGTGCAACAGCTCAATGCCCTCCATAAGTTGGAACATAGGGGCATTCGTTGAACTGAACGGAAAAAATACAACATCGGACCTCGAAAGCCAAAAAGCTCACAGGGAAAATTTCAACCGCTACAGCATCAGGCTGAAATTGATGTTTGAGTAAGGAAGAGTGAAAGACGAACAATATAATAATATATAACAATATCTAGCCTAAATTTTATGTGCTATAAAATGAGTATCGTATCAAACAGTTCACAATTAGTAATTGATCAATGCAAGTAGAGGGACAAGCAATCCATGGCAATCAGTAAATGGATAAATATTTAAAGCACAAAACTTTATTGGACAAAATCAAAATCAAGTAGGTTGTAAACGACAGAAGTTTCTACTTCATTCTTGATCGAATTAGAGCTGGAAAATTATACATCTACCACGAGCATATGCCACCACCATGTATGTATACGGTATACCACTAGTAGTGCAAAGTACGATGTTACAAACCGTGATGGAGTCGGGGAAAGCAAGGAAACTTCTGAACCAGAATAGGTCGAGTTGCGAGAATAGATCGTCTTGTTTTGTAGGCGCCGTTTCAAGCCCAGCATTGAGCACCTTCTCACTGGGCGACCAAGGGCCGCTCGGCCCGCTTACTTTACTGCATTCACTCAAGCTGAAGAGCAGATAGAAGGCAATTTTGCCTAGAATAACTATCGATAAAAAAATAAAATATACCTAATATTGCAATGGTCTTCATTAGAAAAAAATATAACTCAGTACTCACTGAAGTGAGTGATAGAGAGCGCATTTTCTCAAAATCGACGAAAACGTGAAGTCACGGACAGACGGACGGAAGGACGGACATGACGAGCACTTTCCATAAGCTAAATCTAAGGGACCTCTTCTGGCATAACTCTAGTGCATTTAACCATTACAAGGAGCTGCAAAAGTTAAAAGAAAAACAATGGTGACCAATAATGAGGAATATCATTACGAACGCTTCAATCACTTCTGGTTCCCACTGATAGAAATTAATCATCTGGCCTGTGAAATACAACCCTGATACGTATAATAAAAATATAACTCAGTACTCCCTGCAGTGAGTGCCAGAGAGCGCATTTTCTCGTCGACGAAAACTTGAGGTTCCGGACGGACGGACAGACAGACAGACGGACATGGCGAGCACAATAGTGCATTTTTTCCATAAATGAGAAAATGCGCTAAAAAAAATCTAACATGGTATCACATCATCAAGAGTCACCTGACGAAGGCGCGAATGGCCTCGAGCTTGAGATGGTCGGGAAGATGCACGAAGGACCGACGCAACACCTCGTACACTTGTCGAGCGACTGCCAGCCCGCGAGCACACACATCGTCACGCGTTGTTTGGTCGCTGCCCCAATCGCACACTCGCGCGCAGTCAAGGATGAAAGCAAACTGAGACGGTACCTTAAAAAACACTTCGTTACTCAAGCAAAAAAAAGTCTCACGTTTGAGAGGAAGAGTTATAGGAAGTTAGAGGTTGTAGAACATTGCAGTAAGATTCAAGTTTTTTTAAATTCAGGATTAGCACAGGTAAAAACGGTGCATAATGGCTGGAGTTATCAAATCGGTAAACGGAATTTGATCAAACGGCGAGGACAGCTACGTTTCCAAATAACAGAAAATGTTGAAACTCACAAGAGCTTCTGGCATGGTAAAAAAATCACTCGAATTAACTACAGTTTACCATAAAGACGATCCATTACCTGAAAGTTAGTACCGGTAGATGCAGTAGGGACGCTGTTGAGATACTGAGCAACGTGACGCAAGACGTGCAAAACAAAAAGCGGTTCAGTGCGGGAGTGGCTGGACGAATGGGCAGTCAACAGTGACCAAACGCATTGATTTTGGTCAGTGTGGAGCAACGAGTACAAGATAAACTTGCCCAAAAACTGCTCCACTCGCGTCGTCGGAAGCTGAAATTCACAAAATTAATGAATTTTCTAAGTAAACTTTTAAAAATATTTAGGCGCTATTATTATGTCAACGAAACCACAGAGGTCAAGGAGCAAATCCACACTACCTACATCTTTTATTAAAATCATCTATAAATGAATGAAAAATGATACATTTATAGATTGTAAAATCATGAAGGTACCGTATTGCAAAAAAACTCTCAATCAGTACATAAACTCGACTTTAACGGTAAAAATTCCTTCTTCAAGATTTTATTATTTTAATCACACATAAAATTTTACTCACCACTTATCTGTTAACAAATAATATATTTCAAGCAATGTTGTCTCACAATGATTACTACGGTATTTACCAACCAGTGAAAATATAAACTCTCAGTAAAGAGAGTCCTGTATTGTTAAGTGCTCTGAAGTATTGTACCACCAATTATAGGTAATCTAAAGAACTATACTGAATATAAAATACTCTAAAATTATTTTCAGATGAAAAGATCCAACTAAATTTTAAGACAACTCATAAAGATAAAACTGTAGGTGGTATGCTCACTTGATGGTAGTTTACACAAGATGTGCTCTTGCAAGCTCCCTGATAATATAGCATGTGACAAGCTCCTGCTGGTAGTATGGGTTTGTCAATGTGATGCTTGCTACTGGTGGAGGCATCTTTGGAAGCTATGTGTGTAATTTGTTTCATTCTCGAGAGCTTTGAAGCATTTTTAGCCATTGGCTCTACCTCTTTAGTTGAATTGCAAATGGGTTTCACAGCTTCACACTGCTTACTCTTAACATTCATAAAGTCTGAAGAGTCATCTGTCTGAGTTTTTGCAAGTGAATTGTTTGAATGTTTTTTATTGATAGAAAAAGAACTTTTATTGAAGCTAACAAAATTCTGAGAGAAATTGAAGCTCCATGTAACAGGAGATGCAGATATAACAGTAGAGTTTTCTGCAGTGGTATTAACTTCAGGTGGTGCTCCTTTTGAGGTCATCTGTGGACTTGCCACATCACAACCTGCACAAAAATAGGTTCACTGCTTTAGATGGCCTGCAACACAAGACTGCGTTCAGGGAGGAGTGTAAAAAGTAAAACTCTTTTTGAAAAATACCAATTAATCACATGAATGGGGGAATGCTTCTTAGAGACAATGAATAAAAAAAAGCAACTTGTCACATACAAAGTTTAAAACAATCATGAGCATCCACTCTCAAAAAATTGAAAAGTTTCAAGCTAACCTGATGCATTGTTTCCTTTGGCCTTCAAAGCAGGGGGAGAATATTGAAGGTGAGGTCGTCTGTTAGTGGGCTGCATTCCAGGACTAGGGAATGAGAATAACACAATGATTAGGATTGCATCAATCATGTAGAAATATTATTTAATTTAAAACCTTCACATGTACAAGCCAGATTGCACAAAACACCAATTGCAAATTTAATATATTAATAGAAAATATTTGTTTAGTAAGATAGGCATACCATTAATATACCAGTTATATGAATAGTACCTACATATTGTCATATACTATCAAATAGGTGGTACTATCTTCACACATTTGTGTATTGCTCTTAATTTAGAGAATTTAAAAACTCTTCCAACAAGTTATATTGCACATTTGAATGAACTTAAAATACTGACATCAAAATGAGCTGAACAAATATTTGAAGATATATGGTATAGGTACATATATAGATACATTCCTTACCAAAGATTCAATTAATAATCTGAATCTGAAAATGATATTAATATAAGAGTTACTCACATTACCTCCATTCCATCATTGACAGTGAGATGGGTATCATCTCCAACCTCCATCTCATCTACAGGTAAAGAAGGATGCATATAATAAAACTCATTTTTGATACAGAAGTGACACTTGGCCACTACTGTATTATACAAAAAATAAGTGAACATTGTTTGAAAACCTTCATAATTCTGCAAAAGACTTCACCTTGTCACTTAACACAAGCTTAGATTCCTCCCAGAAAACTCAAAATGGAATCATATTAGGAAAGATCCTATGTTATAGTGAAAAGTAAAAAGAAATCATCTTATTACTAATGCTTTCAAAATGAGATGCTGAAATGAGTTGTGTTGAAAACTTCAAAGTAGGTAATTATGGTTGTTTCATCATGCACCAGCCAACTCATGAAAAATAAAACCATGAATAATTACTAAAATATAGGTATTACATCTTGAACATTTCAGTCATTCCAAGAGCTTATCTAAAATTATGATCAATGAGGTCACATATTTGAATCATTTTTATTTAACCCAAAATATTGAGGAAGTCAAGTAGTAGTTAATAACACCAAGTTTAGACCAGCAAGTTGGGGCTTGGAAACCCACATTTTGTAATAATTATGGTCAAAATCAGCAAGGTTGCTAGACAAATAATAATAATATAATAATTATAATAGCAGTTTCAGCGTTAATTAGGCCGTAACCCCGTCGCCGATTCTTAATATAGCAGAATATTCATAGCTTGTTGCAGTCTCGAATGCGCAACTCACTGATTCAATTTTGCTTTGCTTAACCGCCNAATCACAATTCACTATATTATTACTATAATAATATCTCATCATACATGCCAACTGACAATAAATATGATAGAACTGAAAAATCACATTCTATTGTCCACTAAGATGACATATGTGATAAAAAAATATTATTATACAAGTAAACATACAGCCTTCAATAATTGGAAATTCAACAAATTACCACTTATAAATAAAAAAATATATGTATATTGTGAGTTTGATGATTATTTGCCTTGGAATTTATTATATAAACAAATAGTGCGCACAGTGGCTTGTGAATACCTGCATGATTGCTTCTGCTGCAGCTGTGACTATCTATACATGAATATCCAATTTTTAAAATGTATCTATTTTTTCATTGACAATTTCTCGCAATAATAATGTAAGAAAATTAATTCAACTGGTTAGCTAGCCATAACAAATCTGACATGGAAATAGTAAATAAATTCAGGAAATTTGTTTGACTAAATATTATACATTTGTGTTATTAAAAACTTTTCCTGTGATTATCCTTAGTTTTTTGTTAGCTGATTTTTAAGGTGCTAGCAATTTGCAATCACATCTTCACAAGCATTGTCATACAGAGAAATTAGCTTCAGAAGAGCTATTTCATCTTCCCAATGAGGCAGTTGTAAAAAACTGAATTGATCCCTTCTACAAGTCAGCGAGGCATCAAACTACTGGTTCCTTCCTAGTGGAATTCAAAGATATTCAATCATTTTATTAACTAATTTACATAATTATGTTCACAAATTATACAGGTGTTCAAGTACAAGTAAATTTCATAATTATGTTCACAAATTATACAGGTGTTCAAGTACAAGTAAATTTGTCACAGCCAGCCAGCTAGAACACCATACAGTAGTCTACTATTTACATGCTATAATTACTACCCTACCTATATATACATATATACGAGAACAAGTAGGCTTACATAATTATGTTCACAAATTATACAGGTGTTCAAGTACAAGTAAATTTGTCACAGCCAGCCAGCTAGAACACCATACACATACAGTCAGGGTGGAATTCTAGAAATGGAAGTTCACTTATAAAAAAGCTTTCCACCAAAGGTGGAATGCTTTCCTTAGATACAGTGCTCTGCCAAGTGCCAGGTGACTGACTATTAATGAAAAGGAGGATCAAAAGTGGACAAACTGTTTCAATTGTACAGTATCTCAGAGGCTCAGATTTGTTGTAAAATTGTTTGACAGATATTTTCTATTTTTCTTTTATTTAATGGATTTTCTGAAAATTATCCAGGCTTTTTGTTTGTAATGATCAAGTTCAAGTTGAGTATTTAGTTAACCAGTACTGTAGACATATATCATATTTGGGGGCGGGGCTTATGGGCACAACCAATCACAGCTTGAAAGCATCTCCGTCAACCAATCACAGCTAGAAAGCAGATAACATTACAATTCCATTAACCAATCACTGCTGGAAGGCCTCCCTATCAACCAATCACAGCTAGAAAGCAGATAACATTACAATTCCATTAACCAATCACAGCTGGAAAGCTGGAAGGGACTAAAATCACAATCCCATCAACCAATCACAGCTGGAAAGAAATAGGTGATTATGATATGATTGACTGAAAGTGGAAAGTTCCTGGCCTTTCCAAGCTTTCAGGTCCTGCTTTCCAATATGCTATGTGTACTGGTTAATTTAATATCCCTCTAGAATTCCACACTGCATACAGTATGTAGTCTATTATTTACATGCTATAATTACTACCTATATATACATATATATGAGAACAAGTAGGCTGTAGGTCTTACCTGAACTATCCATGATTATGGAAGAATTATTGGAACATCATATTTTATGCATTTTAAGCAAGCACACCAAATTGCAAAACTAGTTTTGCTCCTGATAAAAAAAAATTGCAAGATTAGGTAGAGAACTTACCCCAGTGGGGTAAGATGGGACCAGCTCACTTTTTTAAATCTGTACAGAAAACTATGTTAGATGCAAAACGTCCGAGTTGTAGCTTAGAAGCCCATTGCATAACTACACCTTGTGATAGGTTTAGGTTTTTTTTAGTTATTCATGGTATTTATTAGATGCTACAGGCTTGTTAGTGATTTCGGTCCTGTCTTACCCCATCTGACTATATTTTCTTTGTTTCCAAATTTTGGATCAAACAAAATTTATAATGGCAGGTTCAAAATTATGGAGCAGATAAGTAGAGTTATATAGTTTTGGTTTGAGCTACCTCTAAGTCATGAGAGGAATGAGATAATAGCAGCCACAACCCACAAGAATGAGATAAAATTTTGTAACCACAAAAAAAAATTTGTTCAGCCACAAATTATTTTTTAACTTTAAAAATACTGTGTGCAAGCAATGAACAAATA